TCCTTCCGTGAGCCCAAGGTTCCGACGCCGGATAAATATGAGGGGGAGCTGGGAAAATGCCGTTCTTTCCTTATGCAGTGTGGCTTAGTGTTCGATCTACAGCCCAACTCTTATGCCACAGACAAGGCTAGGGTAGCCTTTGTCATTGAGTTGCTGCGTGGTCGAGCGCTGGAGTGGGCTTCAGCCGTTTGGGAACGACAGGACACCTGCATGGCTTCATACCAGGAGTTCACGGCCGAGATGAGGAAGCTATTCGACCATTCCGAGGTATGGACGCAGCTAGGCGCCTGTTTTCGCTTCGCCAAGGAACTCGCAGTGTTGCCGACTTCGTGATCGAGTTCAGGACGTTGGCTGTGGAGAGTGGGTGGAATGAGGAGTCTCTACAAGCGGCCTTTTACCAGGGCCTGTCGGAGCAGCTCAAGGATGAGTTGATCTCCTATCCGGAGCCTAGTGACCTGGACAGCTTGGTAGCCTTGTCTATTCGGGTGGATAACCGAGTTCGAGAGCGAAGGAGGGAGAAGCAATGGGGCCCGTCCAATCGATCAGCTTCTCAGTTCCCAGTCGGGTCGGGGGGTGGACCAGAATACGTCGATCATTGTCCACCACACAGGATTAGTGGAGAGGTCCTGCCTCCCGATTCTGAACCCATGCAAGTGGGGCGGCACGGGTTAACCAAGGAGGAGCGCCAACATAGACGTAAGACCAACTGCTGCCTCTACTGTGGTAGTTCGGGACATTACATCTCCACTTGTTCCCGGCGGTCGTCAAACTGCTCGGCTCGCTAAAGTTGGGAGGACTTTTAGCGAGCCAGTTTCAACCTCTCAATACCTCTGTCAGACCCCGTTTCCCGGCTACCCTCATGAACAGGAATCAGAGCTTAGCGATTAACGCTTTTTTCGATTCAGGTGCCGATGGAAGCTTTATTGATGCCGAAGTGGTGGAACAGCTGGGGCTTTCCAAGGAGCAATTACCGGAAGCCATTGAAGCTACCACTCTGAACGGCAGTAGTCTGGCACGTATCACGATGAGGACTGAACCGGTTAAGATGCTGTTGTCAGGGAATCATTCTGAGGTGATCTCATTCTTCATTCTGCCTTCTTCCCATGTTCCTCTGGTCCTTGGATACCCCTGGCTGAAAGAACACAATCCCACGTTCGATTGGGTGACTGGCAAGGTAACTAGTTGGAGCCTTGATTGTCATGCTAACTGTCTCAAGACTGCCTGTTCCCATTCGGTTCCCAGTCCGGTGATTGAGGCTAGACCCCCAGATTTGTCCCTGGTTCCCGAGACATATCACGATTTGGGGGAAGTGTTTAGTAAGCAGAGGGCTCTGTCACTCCCTCCCCACCGACCATATGATTGTGCCATCAACCTGTTCCCTGGAGCTGTCTATCCCAAGGGACGGTTATACAGTATCTCCCGACCTGAACGTGAGGCTTTGGAGGCCTACATCAAGGAGTCCCTAGCTGCTGGTCTCATTCGTCCCTCGTCATCACCCCTAGGGGCAGGATTCTTCTTTGTGGGTAAGAAGGATGGCTCTCTTCGACCGTGTATTGATTATCGGGGGTTGAATGATATCACGGTTAAGAACAAGTATCCCCTGCCCTTGATGAGCTCTGCCTTCGACTCCTTACCGGGTGCTACTGTGTTCACCAAGCTAGACCTACGCAATGCGTATCACCTGGTCCGGATCAGAGAGGGGGACGAGTGGTTGACGGGTTTCAATACACCGATGGGTCACTTCGAGTATCAGGTGATGCCGTTTGGACTGACCAATGCTCCAGCTGTATTCCAGAGTATGGTGAATGACGTCCTGAGAGATATGATCGGTCTCTTTGTGTTTGTTTACCTGGATGACATTCTGATCTTCTCGAAGGAACCTTCCAACCACGTCCAGCATGTCAGGCAGGTTCTGCAGTGATTGTTGGAGAATCGCCTGTTCGTGAAGGCCGAGAAGTGCGAATTTCACGCCCACACTACATCCTTCCTCGGGTACATCATCTCCAGGGGAGAGATTAGGATGGACCAGGAGAAGGTTAGGGCGGTTCTGGAATGGGCCCAGCCCGGTACGAGATTGCAGCTCCAGAGGTTTCTGGGGTTTGCGAATTTCTACCGCAGATTCATCCGGGATTACAGCCGTGTGGCGCTCCGTTAACTGCCCTGACTTCCAGTACCAGGACCTTCAATTGGAATCCGGAGGCGGATCGAGCGTTCCTGGATTTGAAGAGGCGATTTACCAACGCACCGATTCTCTCTCAACCTGACACGGCCCGTCAGTTCGTCGTTGAAGTGGATGCGTCTGATGTGGGGGTTGGCGCCATCCTGTCCCAGCGATGCTCCACTGACGGTAAACTCCATCCCTGCGCCTACTACTCTCGTCGTCAATCGTCTGCGGAGAGGAACTACGATGTGGGTAACCGGGAGCTTCTCGCGGTGAAGCTTGCCTTGGAGGAATGGCGCCACTGGTTGGAGGGGGCGGAGCAACCGTTTATTGTCTGGACTGACCACAAGAATCTTGCTTACGTGCAATCGGCTAGACGTCTCAACTCCCGTCAGGACAGGTGGTCTTTGTTTTTCGGACGCTTTAATTTTTCCCTGACGTTCCGACCTGGATCTAAGAACGGCAAGGCGGACGCCTTGTCCCGGATGTTCTCCAAAACGGAGGAGAGTGGGGCCAAGACCGAGACGATTCTTCCCCGGAACTGTGTCGTGGGAGCAATTATGTGGAAGATTGAGGAGGAGGTTATGGCGGCCCTTCGGACGCAGCCCGGTCCCGGTAACGGTCCACCCGGTCGGTTGTTTGTGCCTGAGTCAGTTCGTTCTGCTGTCCTCCAATGGTCCCACGCCAGCAAGATGGCTTGTCACCCTGGCGTGGCTCGGACGATGGCGTTACTTCGCAGACGATTTTGGTGGCCTGCCATGGGAGAGGATACTCAGAGGTTTGTTGCTGCCTGTCCAGTGTGTGCGCAGAATAAGAGTGCCAATCGGCCCAGCTCTGGACTACTTCACCCCCTCCCTATTCCCCGGCGACCATGGTCACATCTGGCCCTGGACTTTGTCACTGGGTTGCCCTCTTCTGAGGGGAACACGGTCGTTCTGACTATCGTGGACAGATTCAGCAAGTTCGCCCACTTTGTGCCCATTTCCAAGCTTCCCTCTGCCTCTGAGACGTCCGAGATCCTGGTTAGGGAGGTTTTCAGGGTCCACGGGTTGCCCAGTGACATCGTTTCCGACCGTGGTCCTCAGTTTACCTCTGCTGTCTGGAAGTCCTTCTGTTTGGCCATTGGAGCTACAGTCAGTCTCACATCTGGTTTTCACCCCCAATCTAATGGTCAGGCGGAGAGAGCCAACCAGAAGATGGAATCCACGCTACGCTGCCTTGTCTCCTCCAACCCCACCTCCTGGGTCTCTCAGTTGCCTTGGGTTGAGTATGCCCACAATACTCTCCCTACATCTGCCACTGGGATGTCTCCCTTCCAGTGCCTGTATGGCTACCAACCTCCCTTGTTTCCTTCTCAGGAGAAGGATCTCGCAGTGCCCTCTGTTCAGGCCCACATTCGTCGTTGCCACCGGACCTGGCATCGGGCCAGAAAGGCCCTCCTTAGAGTTTCTGACCGGTATCAGCTCCAGGCGAATCGTCGCCGGATTCCCGCTTCCACCTATACCATCGGAGATAGGGTCTGGTTGGCCACACGGGATCTTCCTCTACGGACTGAGTCTAGGAAACTGTCACCGAAGTTCATTGGTCCGTTTGTGGTGGAGAAGGTGATCAATCCTGTTGCAGTTCGACTCAAGTTACCGAGAACGCTCAGAGTCCATCCCACCTTTCATGTCTCCTGCCTCAAGCCTGTTCTCCTCAGTCCTCTGTTGCCCCCTCCGCCTCCTCCTCCTCCCCCTCGGATGATCGGAGGTGGTCCTGCCTACACGGTGCGACGCATTATGGATTCCAGACGGCGGGGCCGGGGTTTCCAGTATCTCGTGGACTGGGAGGGGTATGGTCCTGAAGAGAGGAGTTGGATTCCTCGGCGACAGATCCTTGATGCTGACCTCCTTCGTGACTTCTACCGCCTCCATCCTGGCGCTCCGGGTAGTCCGCCCGGTGGCGTTCGTCAGAGGGGGGGTACTGTCATGAACCCTGCATCCTGAGTCGGTTCCTGCCTGTGTTGTCATTTTCTGCTCGGAATCTCCAGTTTTCCTGAGGGTTCTGGAACGCTCCCTGCCTGGTTGCCGGGCGACGTTGCTAGGCGGGAGCTCTCCTGATTAACCGCACCTGCATCCCATCAGCGATCTGCACACCTGGTCCTGATCATCACCCTTTTTAAGCTCTGACCTGACATCCATTCCCTGCTGGATCGTTAGCCATGAACAGTATGTTTATCAGTGTATCAGCCTTAGAGCTTCTAGCGTTAGTTTTGTTGTTTTGCACCTTGTTGGCTTGCTGTGTACTTACCTCCGTTTTGTTCTATCTGCAGTCACTCACCCGGAACCTTCACCCAACCCCTGCCTGGTGGTCGGCGGCTGCCGAGCCATTATTGGACCTGCCACTGCACCCCCACCAACTCATCTCCGCCGCCCGCTCTGTTCCCTGGATTATTCAGCATCGCTTTTGAATCTGTTAAATAAACACTCACCTTCGTTTCAACTCACCTTGTCCTGGTCTGCTTCTGGGTTCTGGCTTTGTAACCCGTGACACATGTGGTGACCACCTGTGTGTAATAATCACCCACTGTTAGGATCAACACAATAGGAACTCAATTCTCACAGAAAATGTGATTTGTCATAATATTCCAAGACGTGTAGGCCTACCTGTTATTGTATTTCTGTATTATTTCCTATTTGTAATTTTTTTGGGAACTTAATGCAAACTATCACATGTAATACTGCTCATGTGCTTGGGAACACATTTCTATTGTGTAACAGGTGATACTGGGGTTGGTGACCAGTGCTATAACGAATTGCATTTCTCAGATACCTAACTTGGTTGTCACTCTGCTCTACAGATCAGGAGCGGATAGGGAAGGACTCCAACTACGAGCAAGAGGGGAAGGTGCAGTTTGTGATCGATGCAGTTTATTCCATGGCCCACGCGTTGCACAACATGCACAGGGAGCTCTGTCCAGGGAAGGTGGGCCTTTGCTCCAGGATGGACCCCATCAACGGCACTCTGCTGCTCAAACACATCCGCCTGCTCAACTTTGCAGGTCAGACACATCCACACGGTTATATGTACAGCATGTACATCACACTCACACAGGGCACCCAGACATGAACACACACCACCTCACTATTTCATCAGATGGTTTTTGTTTTTTTTAATGATTATTTCATCGATTTAATTAATCAAGTGAGATTAATTACACGATGTGAAATATTTACACAAGATTGAAGACATCTCTAAACGGAGAGGAGGAGAGGAGAGGAAGAGACTAAAAACCTAAAAAAAAACTTCAGAGTAACACGTTTTCAAGAGAGGGCCTCTTGAACAAATAGAGGAAATATCTTTCTGGGTATTACAGAGATTAGTTTCAAATGGATTCAATGGAGAGAAAACAATGCTGCTCGCTGGAAAACCTAGAAAACCCCTTGAAGGGGGCAGTCCCTTAAAAGACAAACTCCTGGTAATGGTTTTGGGATCAATGTTTGGCAAAACATCTAAGAAAACTCTATTATTGATTACATTTATTACAAAAGACGCAATGGTGTATGTGAGAAACACGTATCTCCTAAGGGGGAGAAATCAAAGCAGCAACTGCATGTGTTTCCCTGGCTTATTTGAAGACACCATCAAGGGGAACTACACTAACTACACCAACTACACCATCAACTAGATCAGTTGTAACAGGTACCCCAATCTGGATGTAGACGCTGTGCCACACAAGTGGGTTGCTTCTTGGTTACATCAGCAGCAGCACACATCAGTATGTTTAACATGGACACCCAACCCACTGGGGCTATGGGAATAGCAGACTGGAGGGTCATTTATCAAAGATAATATTTATCTCCTTCTCACCAGATAAGTAAATTACTCACCAGAAAACACACAAAGAATACATTTCATTTTTTTCGCCTGGAAACAAAAATCATATGACAGATGGGTCAGAGCAGTTTAAATAGCTTTTTGTTTCACTTGCAATGAATCATTCCAGAGGCCACAGCCAGTGCTGTTTGTTGTTGTCGTTGGGTTCAGGGTCTCCGCTGAGATTGAATTACATTTTACATTTTAGTCATTTAGCAGACGCTCTTATCCAGAGCGACTTACATCAGCAATTAGGGTTAAGTGCCTTGCTTAAGGGCACATCGATAGATTTTTCACATTACAACCCAGTCTCAGTTTTAACCGCAGAGGGTCTGATGTGTCATTCCTCTTATACACTATTATGTTTTAAGCATCCAGGATAATGTGCAAATGACAAAAAGGTCAAACGTCAACAGCCTCCCAAAAGCAAAGCATTGTGGTACTGTAATTACTCATAGTGAGGTGGCCATATCTCTGGCAGGCTGACAATCATCAACAATCTTATCTAGGATATTGGTGGACTGCCTCTGTGGACTATCTCTACATCTCTACTCTCACAGCATCAGAGAGAACCCCTCTTTGTTCAAGTGTGAGGACGCTTATTCTTCTGTCATTTCAAAAAGTATGTACTAAGTAGGTTCTTTGATGTCTTGCTCTGCGTCTTCTCATATAAACCACAAGCAGTATGGCAGTGGTACTGACCTGGCATAGATATTTGTAATAGTTGGTAGAAAGTATTTTTCAATTATACAAAATCCAATAGTGTTGATGTCAGCCACTCAGTTCTAAGACAGAGGAGGGCATATTTCTATAAATCATTAACCTTCATGCTTTACCCTTCCCAATGTATCATTAACCTTCATGCTTTACCCTTCCCAATGTATCATTAACCTTCATGCTTTACCCTTCCAAATGTATCATTAACCTTCATGCTTTACCCTTCCCAATGTATCATTAACCTTCATTCTTTACCCTTCAAAATGTATCATTAACCTTCATGATTTACCCTTCCCAATGTATTATTAACCTTCATGCTTTACCCTTCCCAATGTATCATTAACCTTCATGCTTTACCCTTCCCAATGTATCATTAACCTTCATGCTTTACCCTTCCCAATGTATCATTAACCTTCATGCTTTACCCTTCCCAATGTATCATTAACCTTCATGCTTTACCCTTCCCAATGTATCATTAAACTTCACGCTTTACCCTACCCAATGTATCATTAACCTTCATGCTTTACCCTTCCCAATGTATCATTAACCTTCATGATTTACCCTACCCAATGTATCATTAACCTTCATGCTTTACCCTTCCCAATGTATCATTAACCTTCATGCTTTACCCTTCCCAATGTATCATTAACCTCCATGCTTTACCCTTCCCAATGTATCATTAACCTTCATGCTTTACCCTTCCCAATGTATCATTAACCGTCATGCTTTACACTTCCCTTTGTATCTTCTGATACTTCTTTATCTATTCTAAAGCCTCCACTTCTCAAATGTTTAATTTTGGCTCGCTCAGCAGCCATCAATGTCTCAACATACAAAGCAGAGGTATCAAACAGTTTCCAACCTCACTCTAGCCCCTGGTCCCAACCCCTCCCAGCACTTCCTTCCATCTCCTGCCCACTTCTTCCTTTGATGCTCCAAAGACTTGCTTGAAACATCAATGGGCTGAGATTGAATGAAGCTCCCCATCAGTGTTCTGAGTCTGCTGCTATCACGTCTGAGAAACATTGTTTTATTATTTTACCTCTACTGCAGACAGAATGCAGTGGGCCTTTCGACTGTCAGTCTCCACAGACACTGCAGTTATGACTATGGAACAAAGGCAAAGCACTGTGGGTTTTTCCCTCTCAGCGTGCTTCTTTCTCCCTCTTCTCAGGGAACTACCAATTCTTCATTGTTGTGTGACTCAGATGCTGCCAATTGAAATTGAAAAAAAATAAAAAATAATCTGCATGCCATAGAACTGTCAGATTATTATTTATTTTTTTACAGGAACTTGAAGAACAAGGCTTCACGTCAGTTAAGGCATAGAATAAAGACAGCCTCACATACAGTATCGAAGTCAGCCAATGGCTTTATACTAAACAAACTGTACATATATCACTGGCTTATAATTACAAACGGGGAAACACAAAATTAAATTGTAGTTTTAAACATTTTAATCTGAACTAGTTCCTACCTCATATTTTTCTAAATTACATAGCAAGGTAAATTAAATACTGTATCTGTGATGAGGTGGTGATCAAGGAGTCAGGCGCAGGACGGTAAATCACAGAATAACAGGCTTTCATCCGCAAAATACAGGTTTACGCAGAAATGCGTCAAACACACTCCAGGGCACATAACAGGCGCACTGGAAAATACAAGGCACACGGGAAAAATACTCCCGTCGATACAAAATACACAAGCTCCACCGAGCTTCACTAACCTCCACAATAAACAATCACCCACACAGACAAGGAAGCAGAGGGAACACTTATACAATGACTAATGAGGGGATAAGGACCAGGTGTGTGTGATTGAAGACAAGACAAATGGAGTGATGATAAATGGATCGGCAGTAACTAGTAAGCCGGTGACGCCGAACGCCGAAACCTGCCCGAACAAGGAGGGGAGGCAGCTTTGGCAGAAGTTGTGACAGTACCACCCCGCCCCCCCTTGACGCGAGGCTCCAACAGCATGCCGACCCCGGCCTCGGGGACGGCCAGGAGGACGCGGAGCAGGGTGAGCCGGATGGCGACTGTGGAAATACCGTAACATGGAGGGATCGAGGATATACCTCACCGGGACCCAGCACCGTTCCTCCGGACCGTACCCCTCGCACTCCACGAGGTACTGAAGGCCCCCCACCCGAAGCCTTGAATCCAGGATGGAACGGACAGAGTACGCTGGGGCCTCCTCGATGTCCAGAGGACATGGAGGGACCTCCCGCACCTCAGCCTCCTGGAGCGGACCAGCTACCACCGGCCTGAGGAGAGACACATGAAACGAGGGGTCATTTAGCGGACGCTCTTATCCAGAGCTCAGGGGGGGAGTAATAACCTATAAGTGACCTCGTTGACTCTCCTCAGGATTTTGAACGGCCCCACAAACCGCGGGCTCAGCTTCCGGCAGGGCAGGCGGAGGGGCAGATTCCGGATCAAGAGCCAGACCCGATCCCCCGGTACAAAGACGGGGGCCTCACTGCGGTGGCGGTCAGCGTTGGACTTCTGACGACGCACGGCGCGTTGGAGGTGAACGTGGGCAGAATCCCACGTCTCCTCCGCGCGCCGAAACCAGTCCTCCGCCGCAGGAGCCTCAGTCTGGCTCTGGTGCCACGGTGCCAGAACCGGTTGGTAACCTAGAATACACTGGAAAGGCGTTAGGTTAGTGGAGGAGTGGCGGAGAGAGTTCTGGGCATATTCTGCCCATGGCAAGAACACCAACCACTCCCCTGTCTGGTCCTGGCAGTAGGACCGCAGGAACCTACCCACATCCTGATTTACCCGTTCCACCTGCCCATTACTCGCGGGGTGGAACCCAGAGGTCAGGCAGACCGAGACCCCCAGATGTTCCATGAACGCCTACCAGACCTTTGACGTGAACTGGGGACCTCGGTCCGACACTATATCCTCTGGTACCTTGTAGTGCCGGAGGACATGTGTAAACAGGGCCGTGGGGGAGACCGGGGACGCATCCACCTCCACCACGAACAGTAGTGAAGAATCAGGGTGGGCCAGTACTGGGGCTGAGGTGAACAGACCCCGCAGTTTGCTGAAGGCCAGGTCAGCCTCAGCAGACCAGCGGAGCCGGGACGGCTCATCCTTCAACAGGGATCTGTCTAGTTTCTTCATAATCCTTAACTAAATTCATACAGTCTTTCCCTCTGTGGATATAGCTGGCTCTTGGACTGAAATGTTTAACTGTGCCCTACTTGGTCAGATAATTCATAATGTGTTTGAAAATGTGGCAAATATAGAGTGATTGTTGACGATAATTGTAATGCTAGGATGAGTATGAATGTGTATCAGCCTTCTCTTTCCTCAATCACATGCCAACAGAATAGCGTGATTTAACACAGCACACTAGAGTGCATGGCAGTGCCGGTGTGAAACATTAAGAAAACAGAGACAGAACATATTTTTTCCTTCGGTCCATGAATCCTCTGTTGAAATAGTCTCTTAATCTTCACGTAAATTGCGGGTTGCAGGTAGCCTAGCGGTTAGAGTGTTGGGCTAGAACCGAAAGTTCTCTGGTTCGAAAACCCGAGCCGCCAAGGTGAAAAGTGTGTAGGTTTGCCCTTGAGCAAGGCACGTAACCCTAATTGTCTTCAGGGGTGTCATACTACTATGGCTGAACCTGTAAAACAACATACTTCACCTATCCAGTGACAATACAAAACTTTTTTTTGCGGCGTTGTTTGTTTACATTAAAATCACACAAGACTCACATACTGTACCTCTATCAAGTTTAATCATCTTATTGTGTCTGTCTGAGCTCTCCAGAGAGAGACTCTACTATAGTATTCAATCCAATCACAAACTATTCATGTTTCTTGATTGTACAAATAATGAGTGGTTGAATCACGAGAGGCAAATCAACCATAAAATACTAGGAAAAATGCCCTGCTCATTCACTGCTGAACTTGGAGGGTGAGTGAGTCTGCAGGCTAAATGTGTGGAAGTGTGAGTGTGGCAAACGGCTCGGCTCGGATCCTGAATAGGAAATGACTCGGAGGACAATGGACTGCATAAAGAGAAACTCTAAACAATGTGCACAGAGTGCATTCAATTATGTTTTCATGACTGAAAAATGGCTGCATTTTTAAAGATTGCTCTCAGGACCCTGTTTCTGTAGTCTAAAATATGCTTAAGGAAACTTCTGAATAAAAGTTATGAAAATATTTAGCTAATTTCATGTCTTCAGGGGTTTGCTGTGGTGACTGCAAGAGGATATATAGATGTATGCTTATGGTATCAAACAATGCCCTCAGCTTAGGCTCTGGTATGGTATATTCTAGAGTGGTTCACTATCACCCTGTCAGTCTGCTGTGAGGATGCACCTTTCTGATAATCCGTTTTAATTGGCCACAACTAGTACCATGAGTTCTCCTTATTATATAACTTAACTAGAGAAAACTCTACTCCCTAGCCATAATATCACACCAAAAGCATTTTAAATGAAGCTCTGGAGAACAATGATACTGCAAAGTAAAATACAACGCACGACAAGTGCTCTTAGCCTTAAGTCTGGACAGTAATGTTTCTGACATGCATCTGAAGCCAAGTACTGTAGCCTGTCCCTAAATCTGTGTGATCTTTAGCCAGCTTCTCTTACTATCGTTGTCATGCCATGTATTTGTATTTTTTATTTAACCTTTATTTAATTCGGCAAGTCAGTTAAGAACAAATTCTTATTTTAATGAAGGCCTACACCGGCCAAACCCGGACGACGCTGGACCAATTGTGCGCCGCCCTATGGGACTCCCAATCACGGCCGGTTGTGATACAGCCTGGAATCGAACCAGGGTGTCTGTAGTGATGCTTCAAGCACTGAGATGCAGTGCCTTAGACCGCTGCGCCACTCGGGAGTATGAAAAGACTGTATGGCAACGGCATGCCTCCATGGCAACGATAGTCCGAGGAGTTGGCTAAAACTCATACATATATGAGACCATGCATGCTAGAAGGCATGCCATGAACATACAGTCCGTCTAGGGAACAGCCTGGGTAGGAAATGCCAATAATCTCTGGGCCAACCTCAGATTGGAGCAGCAAGCATGACCAAAAGATCGTAAACTGTTAAATGTAATTAGATCTGCAGTGGCAGGCTGTGGTGCTGCATTAGTGTCTGAAAGGACCAATGTTGCGGTCAGGATCCATTTTCCTCTCACAGTGACAGCATGGTGCCCAGTGCCATGCGAGGGGCTACGGCCTCAAAGCCTTAATATGCCCTAATACACAGCTCCAACTGGGCCAGTGGGAGAGCTATGTGCCTTATGAAAAAAAAAAAATAATTGACCAATACTATGATTAAACTCCTGGATACAAATTATTACACTCATGGAGAGTGCGTTATAAACATATCTCTTCTGCTGTAATCCCTCTCATCTGCTTATTTTGCTGTGAGATGTGGGCTGCGTTGTCACTGAGGCACGGCTGAGCACACAGTAATGCCTTAATCCAGAGGGGCTGGCTCATCGAGATGTGGATTAGGCTGCTGCGCACGTCTTCCGCCCTACGCTAAACAAAGAGAAGGAAAAAGTACGCTCATCAGCAGAAATCCAAACTGCCGAGATCATCCACGCTTTCCCCCTTGTTTGTAAGATGGGACACCCATTGTGCTTGGGGAGACTTATTGATAAGCCCAGCATTAAAAGAGAAATGCCAGCACCTTACGCCTTTCATCAGTGGATGGCTGTGTGCTGCTGCATGTTCAAACTTGGGTTTTAAAGTGGAAGTCGATAGGGACTTACTCCTCTTTCCATCCTCAGCAGAGAGCAGTGATGCTATACTTAATATCTTCAAGGGGCATCTCAGGGAAGTAAATGGTGTTGTGTAGTTTTAATAATTTACAATATCATAAAGGAGCATGTCGGGAAAATATGTTGTTGTGTATTGTTTGTTGTTTAGTGGGGACTGTTTTGTTGATGGTGAGAATTTGCAGACATTTGGCTGCTAAGTCATATGACATACCATTACTATAGTTCGTATTTCAAAACATATTGTGGAAAAACACCAACAAAGAATTGCAGTGTGCGATAACACTACACAGTAATACTTTATTCTAAAAGAAAAGCTGTTTCCCAAAAATCCCCCCACATGCAGTTCTCACTTAGAGAACGGAAGAAAACATTTTAATAGATGACTGCAGATATGATTTGACTAGGCAGAAACCCCTAGACAGAACAGACCAGAGAGAGAATATACAATCAGCATATGTTACTTATTCTCTCTTATACTTACTTTGTTGAATTGAAAAGTTGTATTTTCATATTACAGTTTATTTTGGTTAGCCGCATACATTTGCACATTCCGCTTTGACTATATATATATATATATATATAACAATTCAAACAAATGCATTGACACTCTCTCTCCTCTGTCCTTCAGGCATAGCTGGCAACCCAGTGCTCTTCAATGAGAACGGCGACGCCCCTGGTCGCTATGAGATTTACCAGTACCAGATCAGAAACAGAACAGCCGAGTACAAAATAATCGGCCACTGGACCGAACAGCTCTATCTGAACGTAAGGATTTCTTTTTTATATATTTAACACAGCAGATACTGTACTATAGTTATACAGTGAGGGAAAAAAGTATTTGATCCCCTGCTGATTTTGTACGTTTGCCCACTGACAAAGACACGATCAGTCTATAATTTTAACAGAAAAATCCAGAAAGAAAATGTTATAAATTGATTTGCATTTTAATGAGGGAAATAAGTATTTGACCCCTCTGCAAAACATGACTTAGTACTTGGTGGCAAAACCCTTGTTGGCTATCACAGAGGTCAGATGTTTCTTGTAGTTGGCCACCAGGTTTGCACACATCTCAGGAGGGATTTGTCCTACTCCTCTTTGCAGATCTTCTCCAAGTCATTAAGGTTTCGAGGCTGACGTTTGGCAACTCGAACCTTCAGCTCCCTCCACAGATTTCCAATGGGATTAAGGTCTGGAGACTGGCTAGGCCACTCCAGGACCTTAATGTGCTTCTTCTTGAGCCACTCCTTTGTTGCCTTGGCCATGTGTTTTGGGTCATTGTCATGCTGGAATACCCATCCACGACCCATTTTCAATGCCCTGGCTGAGGGAAGGAGGTTCTCACCCAAGATTTGACGGTACATGGCCCCGTCCATCCTCCCTTTGATGCGGTGAAGTTGTCCTGTCCCCTTAGCAGAAAAACACCCTCAAAGCATAATGTTTCCACCTCCATGTTTGACGGTGGGGATGGTGTTCTTGGGGTCATAGGCAGCATTCCTCCTCCTCCTCCAAACACGGCGAGTTGAGTTGATGCCAAAGAGCTCGATTTTGGTCTCATCTGACCACAACACTTTCACTCAGTTCTCCTCTGAATCATTCAGATGTTCATTGCCAAACTTCAGACGGCCCTGTATATGTGCTTTCTTGAGCAGGGGGACCTTGCGGGCGCTGCACAATTTCAGTCCTTCACGGCGTAGTGTGTTACCAATTGTTTTCTTGGTGACTAATGTCCCAGCTGCCTCTCACTGTTCAAATAAACCTACCATTACAATGATAGACTGATCATTTCTTTGTCAGTGGGCAAACATACAAAATCAGCAGGGGATCAAATACTTTTTTCCCCTCACTGTATTATCAGACATATCCCCTCCAAATGACCTTTATGTTTTTCACCATTTGTTGTCTGTGGCTCTCCTCCTAAAGCAGCTTTGACAGGATGTTGTCATCTGTTGGTTATACTGCAGTGCTTCCTTTGCTCAGTAATTTCTCCTAAACCATTAGCTACTGCTTTGGGCACACGTTTTCAACGGTGCAAACATCCAGAGGGTGCTTTAATGATTAACAACACGGACTGGGATGAAAAGAAACCAATAAGAGCTTAAAAACAGACACATTGCTATAATGACTTCAGACACCAATCCACTGTCTTAGCAAAACAATATGGTGGAGTTGTGGACACAGGAGGTTACAAAGCTATAACAATTAATTACATGATGCCGGCCCTGCAAATAGTGTTTGAACGGAATATGAAGAGATGGCCTTGGGCAAAGAAAGAGAAAGAAAAAAGAAGCGTGTTTCTATGGCGTCGACCTGGTTTCTATGGCGTCGACCTGGGTCTGTGTCTCTTTCAACGCTGTGTGAATGGCGGAAGACCATGAATGTTTTTGTAAATGTGTTGTAAATGCTAGTCCTGCGGTGTGCGCCAATTCTCTTTCCAAATGAGCTTTTAGTTAAATAGGATTCTTATAGCTGTTAATTAAATACACATTTGGGGATGCGTTTGCCGCCTATGAATTTCACAAACACCATTGACGGCAAAAAAAAGTGAATAACATAACACTAAATATATCCTTTCAAGAAGGCAAATAGTGTTCATGGGTAATATACTTTTTAATGGAGAGGAAAGAGAAAAAAGCCCCTAAAAGAACTGTATGCCAGTGGTAATTGTCATTAAGCAAGAAGAGACTGTTTATGGGTTATAGTGTTAGTTATTTGTGAAGTGTTTGACTGTACCCCTCCTCTCCTCTCCATCCCCCCTCAGATCCGAGCAATGCACTGGCCAGGTGGAGGTCGTCAGATCCCCTACTCCATCTGCAGTCACCCCTGCCAGGCCGGAGAGCGCAAGAAGGTAGTGAAGGGCATCCCTTGCTGCTGGCACTGCGAGCGCTGCACTGGCTACCAGTATCAAGCAGACACCTACAGCTGCAAGATGTGCCGCTTTGACCTGCGTCCCAACGAGAACCATACGGCCTGCCGTCCCATCCCCATCATCAAGCTGGAGTGGAGCTCCCCCTGGGCCGTCATCCCTGTCCTCATCGCTGTGCTGGGCATCATGGCCACTCTGTTCGTGGTGGTCACCTTCATCCGCTACAATGACACGCCCATCGTCAAGGCGACGGGCCGCGAGCTCAGCTACGTTCTGCTGACTGGTATCTTCATGTGCTACGCCACCACCTTCCTCATGATTTCTGCCCCTGATGTTGGAATCTGCTCCCTCAGACGGATCTTCCTGGGTCTGGGGATGAGTATCAGCTACGCAGCCCTGCTCACCAAGACTAACCGCATCTACCGCATCTTTGAGCAGGGATCCATGTCGGTGAGTGCCCCCAGGTTCATCTCCCCAGCCTCCCAGCTGGTCATCACCTTCAGTCTGACTTTGGTGCAGCTACTGGGGGTGTGTATCTGGTTCGGTGTGGACCCGTCTCAGGCCATCATCGACTACGAGGACCAGCGCACGGCAAATCCGGACATGGCCCGTGGCGTGCTCAAATGTGACATCTCCGACCTTTCTCTGATCTGCCTGCTGGGCTACAGCATGCTGCTCATGGTCACCTGCACGGTGTACGCCATCAAGACCCGGGGGGTGCCGGAGACCTTCAACGAGGCCAAGCCCATCGGCTTCACCATGTACACCACCTGTATAGTCTGGCTGGCCTTCATCCCAATCTTCTTTGGCACCTCCCAGTCCACAGAGAAGGTAAGATCTGGCTGGCCTTCATCCCAATCTACTTTGGCACCTCCCAGTCCACAGAGAAGGTAAGATCTGGCTGGCCTTCAACCCCATTTTCTTTGGCACAGCCCAGTCCACAGAGAAGGTAAGATCTGGCTGGTCTTCAACCCCATTTTCTTTGGCACAGCCCAGTCCACAGAGAAGGTAAGATCTGGCCGGCCTTCAACCCCATTTTCTTTGGCACAGCCCAGTCCACAGAGAAGGTAAGATCTGGCCGGCCTTCAACCCCATTTTCTTTGGCACAGCCCAGTCCACAGAGAAGGTAAGATCTGGCTGGCCTTCAACCCCATCTTCTTTGGCACCTCCCAGTCCACAGAGAAGGTAAGCTCAGAGGTGTGTTCTTTCTTGGTCTGTTTGTTTTCTGTTGGTGTTGATATGCCAAAGGACAGCACTAGCACAAATATGATTCTACAGACTGCGTCTCTATCGCTCTCTCAGTTGAAACATATTTATTTTTCATAATGTTTTGTTTATAGAGAGGCCATTGTACCGTTGTTCATTATGGAAGGACTGTGCTGGGGAGTCAGTATACTGTAGATGGACATGGCTGGATGAAAATAGCATTATGCTATGGTATGCATGAGCCTTTTCTGTCAGAGCTTAAAGGATGGTGAATACTGCTGTTATACTCTGTGTCAGAACACTGATTTTCACTGTGTAGTCATAAAGTTGTAATCTCCCCTGCTGTCTTGGTTTGATGAAGACTAAAATTACAAGCAGAGTAGTGTATGATTCTATGACGTATATCTGAGATTCAATTAAATTGGGGAGGTCATTCATTATTGAAATATCAAAACTTCTGATCTGAAGACAAAAGTAAGAAATGCCTATTCTACACGCAGAGCATTTGAAGAGAATTCCCCTGAGCTCTGCAGGCCCTTTGCCTACAGTAGCCTACTTGTGATTTTGTGACTCACGTGTATGTGACGGCTGTGTGCCACAGTGTATTAGTGACCAATGAGCTGTTTACACAACCACAGAGTTCACACTCGTGCCATCTTGTCAAATCAATGAGCCTGGCCTGGTGAACTACAAATCCACTAGAAACACTGGGATTCACACCTGGGGTCAAATAGTAATGTAGTACTAATATTTAACAATCTACATTAGATAAACCCGACTATCTGGCACCGTTTATATCTGATTCTAAAATGCGTTCTCCTGATCTTATCCACATTCTGATTGTGCACACATTCTTGGCCTTTACTACTATAGCCCATAGAAACGCTTTGAATAACACATTCGTAAATGTAAAAAAAGACAGTCACAAAATAAATCATAAGGAGTAAGGTTTTGAAGTGTCTGTCCTATATCTAGGAGATGTAAGAAAGCTCAGGAAATATTTGTGTTTTTTTGGACACATATTTAACCCCTTATTTGTGTCATAAAACTACCTCCATACTTCCATTTGTTTGTATCGGTTAACTTTCTGAAGAGTCCCATGACATTTGTTGGGGTCGTAGAGCAGAACACCATCGTGTTGGTGAGAGTCTCCCCTTTCCATAGTGGTGTCATATTAGTTTGTAGCGCAAACGGTTCGGACGATACAGACAGAAATTGCCACATCAGCGATACCGACTTCAGACGAATCCAAACCGTACAGACGTTTTTGTGAGAAGACCGATTGGTCTAATGGTCTGACAAACACTGCTGTAGCTCGGCCACCTTCCACCGCAGATGCGGAAGGCCGACAGGCGGATGCGGTGGATTGAGACACAGCCCATGCAAAAAACTTAGCTTAAACTGACGGTGAATTGATGGGGATTTTTGTATTATTTTACTTAAATTGATGCACGTGATGCAATAGGTTACCTTCACGCTCTTGGGCACAGGGACTATGGTGGATTGCTTGAAACATGTAGGTATTACAGAATCGGTCAGGGAGAGGTTGAAAATGTCAGTGAAGACACTTGCCAGTTGGTCCTCATATGCTCTGAGTTCACGTCCTGGTAAGCCGTCTGGCCCCGTGGCCTTGTGAATGTTGACCTGTTTCAAGGTCTTGCTCACATCGGTTACGGAAAGTGTGATCACAAAGTCGTCCAGAACAGCTGGTGCTCTCATGCATGCTTCAGTGTTGATTGCATCTAAGCGAGCATAAAAGGCATTTAGCTCGTCTGGTAGGCTCTCGGCACTGGGCAGCTCGCGGCTGGGTTTCCCTTTGTAGTCCGTAATAGTTTGCAAGCCCTGCCACATCCAATGAGCGTCAGAGCCGGTGTAGTAGGATTCAATCTTAGTCCTGTAATATAATAATATGCCATTTAGCAGACGCTTTTATCCAAAGCGACTTACAGTCGTGCATGCATACATTTTTGTGTATGGGTGGTCCCGGGGATCGAACCCACTACCTTGGCGTTACAAGTGCCGTGCTCTACCAGCTGAGCTACAGAGGACCACCATTGATGCTTTGCCTGTTTGATGATTTGTCTGAGGGCATAGCGGGATTTCTTATAAGCGTCCGGATTAGTGTCCCGCTCCTTGAAAATGGCAGCTCTAGCCTTTAGCTTAGTGCGGATGTTGCCTGTAATCCATGGCTTCTGGTTGGGGTATGTACATGCGGTCACTGTGGGGATGACGTTGTCGATGCACTTATTGATGAAGCCGGTGACTGAGGTGGTATCCTCATTTTACATTTACATTTTAGTCATTTAGCAGACGCTCTTATCCAAGCGCCATGTTCTACCAACTGAGCTACACGGGACTACTCCTCATGCCATTGGATGTTTGAACAGGTCAAATGGGACACTGGGAGAAATGGATGGAGGTTGAGTTTTTAGCACGTAACTGTAGTTAAGGTACAGAACAGTGTAGGGCTCCACAGCCTTGCGATAAAAACAATGGTTGAAATGAGTAGGTGGAAGCAGACAGCTATTAGGCAGTCAAACAAAGAACAGGGCCTCAGTAGCTGTCATGGAGCACTGGTAATCTACTCAGGGGTGAGAGGCTAGTGAATGGCTCTCACTGGCAGGGACGACACTATCAGTGGGGTTGGAGTAGAAAACAACAGAAAGAGGGGGTCTAAATAGCTAATATAATGTCATCATCATCATAGTCTTTCCACTGGGATGAAAAGATTATGATAATACATTCTGCTCTGTTAGCCTTTCTACGCAGCTTGTACATGACTAATAGCTAGCACATGACTAATACTCTCCTGAGTGGCGCAGTGGTCTAAGGCACTGCATCGCAGTGATAACTGTGCCACTAGAGATCCTGGTTCGAATCCAGGCTCTGTCGCAGCCGGCCGCGACCGGGAGACTCATGGGCGGCGCACAATTGGCCCAGCGTCGTCCAGGGTAGGGGAGGGAATGGCCGGCAGGGATGTAGCTCAGTTGATAGAGCATGGCGTTTGCAACGCCAGGGTTGTGGGTTCGATTCCCACGGGGGGCCAGTATAAAAAATATATATATATATATATATATGTGTTCACTAACTGTAAGTCGCTCTGGATAAGAGCGTCTGCTAAATGACTGAAATGAAATGAAATGAAATAATACCTTGTAAATGACTAATACCTTGTAAATGACTAATAGCTTCTACATGACTAATGGCTTCTACATGACTAATACCTTGTAGATGACTAATACCTTGTAAATGACTAATACCTTGTAAATGACTAATAGCTCGCACATGACTAATAGCTTGTAAATGACTAATAGCTTCTATGTGATTAATAGCTCGCTCATGACTAATAGCTTCTACATGATTAATAGCTCGCACATGACTAATAGCTCACACATGACTAATAGCTTCTACGTGACTAATACCTTGTAAATGACTAATAGCTTGTACATGACTAATACCTTGTAAATGACTAATAGCTTGTAAATGACGAATGCCTTGTAAATAACTAATATATTGTATATGACTAATACCTTGTAAATGACTAATAGCTTGTACATGACTAATACCTTGTAAATGACTAATAGCTTGCACATGACTAATACCTTGTAAATGACTAATACGTTGTAAATGACTAATAGCTTCTACATGACTAATAGCTTGTAAATGGCTAATAGCTTGTACATGACTAATAGATTCTACATGACTAATATATTCTACATGACTAATACCTTGTAAATGACTAATACCTTGTAAATGACTAATAGATTCTACATGACTAATACCTTGTACATGACTAATATATTCTACATGACTAATACCTTGTAAATGACTAATAACTTCTACATGACTAATAGCTTCTACATGACTAATAGCTTCTACTTGACTAATAGCTTCTACATGACTAATAGCTTGTAAATGGCTAATAGCTTGTAAATGGCTAATAGATTCTACATGACTAATAGATTCTACATAACTAATACCTTGTAAATGACTAATAGCTTTTACATTACTAATAGCTTCTACATGACTAATAGCTTCTACATGACTTATATTTTGTAAATGGCTAATAGCTTCTACATGACTAATAGCTTCTACATGACTAATAGCTTGTAAATGGCTAATAGCTTGTACATGACTAATAGCTTCTACATGACTAATAGCTTCTACATGACTAATAGCTTGTAAATGGCTAATAGCTTCTACATGACTAATAGCTTCTACATGACTAATAGCTTCTACATGACTAATAGCTTGTAAATGGCTAATAGCTTCTACATGACTAATAGCTTGTAAATGGCTAATAGCTTGTAAATGGCTAATAGCTTGTAAATGGCTAATAGCTTCTACATGACTAATAGCTTGTAAATGGCTAATAGCTTGTACATGACTAATAGCTTCTACATGACTAATAGCTTGTAAATGGCTAATAGCTTCTACATGACTAATAGCTTGTACATGACTAATATATTCTACATGACTAATAGCTCGCACATGACTAATAGCTCGCACATGACTAATAGCTCGCACATGACTAATAGCTTGTACATTACTAATAGATGTACATCACTAGTAGCTTAACCCAGAACTAAAATATTGTGTATGTAGTCTGTCCACGAGAGATTAGTACATGACTAAAACAATATATTGTACGCAACTAAAATGTATATCTTGTAAGAATGAATATCACTTTTTCTCTGTGTGACATTCTTCTATTCTTCTGCAGTGCTTTATTGTGCATTTCATTATGACCATCACCAGTTAGATGCATTCAGTCATAGTGCAAAATGTCCATAGAGATA